GACTGTTCCTTTTATTTTGATATTGATTTTGGTAATATGTTTGTGTGCTTGTCTGCTTTTATTTTTGCTGTAGTCAAGTTATTTATTTCCTGTGCTTTCCTGGCTATAGTTTGCCTCCTTGGGTTGCAGTTTTTCTTCTAGTATCTTCTCTAGGGCTGTATTTGTGGATAGGCACTGTTTAAATTTGTTTTTGTCATGGAAAAACATGACATCTTGTTTTCTTCATCTATGATGACTGAAAATTTTGCTGGGTATAGTAGTCTGGACTGGCATCTGTGGTCTCTTAGAGTTTGCAAGACATCTGTCCAGGTCCTTCCGACTTTTATGTTCTCTGCTGAAAAGTCAGGTGTGATTCTGATGTTTGCCATTACACATTACTTGGCCTTTTTCCCTTGTAGTTTTTGTATTTTTCTTTGTTCTGTACATTTAATGTTTTGATTATTATGTAGCAGGAGGATTTTCTTTTCTGGTCTAGTCTATTAGGTGTTCTGTAGGCCTCTTGTATGTTTATAAGCATCTCTTTCTTTAAATTGGGAACATTTTCTTCTGTGATTTTGTTGAAAATATTTTCTGGGCCTTGGAGATGGGAATCTTCTCCTTATTCCTATTATTTTTAGGTTTTGTCTTTTCATGGTGTCTGATTTATTGGAGGTTTTGTGTCAAAAAATTTTTTTAGACTTAACTTTTTCATTGATGGATGCATCAATTTCTTCCATTGTGTCTTCTGAGATTCTTTCCTCCATCTCTTTTTTCTGTTGCTGATGCTTACCGTTGTAGTTCCTATTTTCTTCTCTTAAGTTCACTCATTCAAGGATTGCCCCAGTTTGTGCTTTCTTTATTGTTTTCATTACAGTCTTCAGATCATGATCTATTTTATTGATTTCCTTCACCTGATTGTTTGCATTTTCCTGAATTTTATTGAGTGATTTGTTCATTTCCTCTCTACAGGCCTCTCTAAAGGCCTCAATATGTTTGACTCTATCTTCCTGTATTTCTTTAAGGATTTTATTCGTTTCCTTCATTATCATCTTCATAAGCATAGATTTAAGGTCATTTTCTTGTGCTTTAGTGTGTTCAGGGCTGACTGCATTGAGATAAATGGGGATTCTGGAGATTCCATATAATTTTGGCTTTTGTTGATTGTGTTTTTACACTTGCCTTTAGCCATCCTGGTTGTTTTTGATGATAGCTGGTAGTTTCTGGTGCCCTCCAGAGTTCGTGGGGAGGGGGGAGTGCAGGAAGAGCCCTGGACAAAAATCTGGATGTTCCCATAGGAGCCCTCCTCAGATTGGTGTGTATGGTCGATTACTGGTGGGTGTTTCTCAGGGGATTGCCTGAGGCCTTCCTCAAATGTATGATCCTGTGGAGTAACTGGACATTTTTGGAGCTCAGGAGCTCTCCTCTCACTAGGGGAAGTCCCAGGGACAGCTGCCCTGCCATTGGCTTTCTTGCTCTGAGGTTAATGGGCTGCAGCTGCCCTGACATTGTCCTCAGTCACTGTGCTTTCTGGGTGCAACCAATTTGGAGAACCAAAGAGCCCTGAGATTTGGTTGGTCTACCTATGGAGAAAGGTTGAGCTTTGAAGAAGTGTCTGGGGCTGTTCCATGGCTCCCAGGCTTCAGGAAGCCCTTTGATTAGAGCTGCGTGCCTGGTACTCAGTATGTATTCACTGGTTGATGTGAGCAGAATGCAGGCATGTATCTATATGCTGAGTCCTGTGCTGGTGGGAACCCAGGAACATTTCCGGGGATTGGCCAGGTGATCTGAGGTTGGAAAAACTTGTTTCCCTCACTTTAGGGTTTATCTCAACTGAGAAACCCAGACACTGGTGTTTTGGGGCCCACAGTTCAGTCTGGAACAGTGAGCACAGCACACAGGCATTTGGCTAGATGATGGAGACCACACTCTGGCCAGATCCCAGGAACTTCTCAGGGGATTAGCTGGATGACCTGAGATCAGACCTCCCTGTTTTCCTCACTGCGCCGGGTCTTCTCTCACCTGGAAAAGGCAAACGCTGGTGTTTGGGGGCCCACAGTTCAGTCTGTTGGTGGCTATGCAGTCTCTGCTGTACTGATCAGACACAGTGTGTGATTGGCACCAACATCTTGGAATATTCTTTGAAACTGACCATTTTCACAATATTGAATATTCTGATCCATGAACATGAGAGGTCTTTTCATCTGCTGATATCCCCCTTAATTTCTTTCTTCAGTGTCATAAAAGTTTTATTGAGAGATCCTTTATTTCCTTGGTTAGAATTATTCCCACCTGTTCTCTGTCTCTGCCTCTTCTCTATCTTTGTCTCTGTCTGTCTCTCTCTCTGTGTGTGTGTGTGTGTGTGTGTTAAGTGAGATTATCTCCTTTATATAATTTTCAGTATCCTTTCTTTTTTGTACCCTGCCACTTTGCTGAAAGTATTCTGATCTACAATATTCGTCTTGGGGGAATCTCTTGTGTGTATAATCATATAATCTGTAACTAAGAATTTTTAAGACTTTTAAAGAATTACTTCTTTTTCTATTTCTATTCCTTTTATTTTTGTCTCTGTCTGCTCTAGGTAACACTTCAAGCAATATACTGAGGATAGAGAGTAGAAACTTTTGTCTTGTTCCTGATTTTGATGAGACTGCTTTGAGTTTTTCTACATTTAGCATTAGTGTTATTTTTAAAAAATCTCAATCATTCAATATAACCAATAAAGACTCGGGAGCCAGATGCTGGGGTGAAAGCCTGCTAGCTCAGAGAGGCAGAGAAAGCACCCAGCTGACTTTCCTCCTCAGCTGAGGAATCTCCCTCTCCCATGATGTCTCAAAAGACTCCTTTAAACTCAGTGTCCCTCCTTTCTACTTTTTGTGCGTCCCTCTATCTATCCACCTGACTTCATCCTCCGCTCTATGTTTTTATAACCCTAAGTTCACTTCCTGTCAACTGGTTGCTTGCTTCTCTTGACCTATGGTTGACTTTATTTAATCTAGTTTATGATATGCAAGCAGAAAGTTCTAGGATTAAAAGTGTGTGCTAAGACTGAGCCACACCACAACTAAAAACAGTTTTTTCCAGTAAATAACACAATCTCAGAGTTCACAGTGTGAACAAATATCCTGCAACACATTAGCTTTCATTTCACAATGAAGGAGTGCCTTCATTGTGTCCCGTAGATTTCAGCATGTTGTGTTTTCAATTCATTCTTATCTAGGATTTTTTTTTCCTTTCTGATCTTTTCTTTGTCTAATTACCATTCATGAATATTGTTTGTTTTATTGAGTTTGTATACTTTTTCTAGTTTCTATTGCTGTTGTTATCTGGTGTTATTCCACTATCGTCAGAAAAATGCAGGATGTTACTTTAACATTCCTTTATTTGTTTTGACTTGTTTTATGTTTTATCTTGTGTTCAATTTTGGAGAAAGTTTATGGGCTGTTGAGGAGAATGACTATTGTGTTTGGCTGAAGTGGTCTGTAGATGTCCATTAGGTTCATTTTATTCACCATGTCATTTAACTCCAGTGTTTCTCTGTTTAGTTTTTGCTGCTGAGGCTTTCCACTGAAGTTTTTATTTGGCTTATTGAGTGTTTCATTTACAGCATCACTTCAATTTGAGTTTCTTCATCAATTTCCTCTTTATTAAACTCTATATTCTGTCTTGGAATGACTTCTATATTTCATTCATCTCTTTGTTTTGTTTTCTTTGAGTATATTCATATCCTTTATAAATTGTTTAAACATAGTTAAATCATTCTTTTGAATTCTTTGTCCAAAAGATCTTCTAGATCATTCTCATTGCAGTTTGTTATGGAATTAGTAACTTGGGGGAGCATCAAATTGGGGGGGGTTTACACTACTTTTATTATCCTTTGGTACTTGTGCATCTGATTTAAGTTGTTACTTGAGTTACTTGAGGGTTGGTATGAGGAGAAGATAAAGAGGGGTGCTGAAGTACCAGGTCTTGGGTACATGACAGTAGGAAGACAAGTGAGCTCAAAAGTCAGGGCATGCATGATGACCACCAAGCTATCTAGATGGAGGAAAAGCTTTCATCCTTTGCTGATTCTGGAGCCTACAGATTCCAAAACATTCATTTCCATGCTAGCTTCTCTACTGTCTTATTCATGACTTAATGCATCAACTTGTTACACAGAACACTTGAACATGATGATACTGGCTGTGCTTATAAAGTCTGTACTGTTCATTATATAAATTTGATTAGTTATATCATTTGGATATGTACTATCCTTTTTGACTTTAGTTTCCTCAAGTCCAAGAATGTGTTTAAGCTAGTATTGAAGTCATGATTTTAAATTTTCATGATACAAGGTGCATATATAGTATACATATATGCATACAGTTAATATGTTTGTAGTTATATATGGCTTGTACATGCATATATATAAACTGTATGTATTAGCTTATATATATTATACATACGTTATTTTCATAGACCAAATATATATAAGCAAAAAAATAGGAAAAATCTTCTTCTAACTATCTTCCTTTAAAAATAGGTATTTATACACACACACACACACACACATATATATATATATTCATTGTTTTCAATATGTGAATATCAGAGATAACTAACTCTTGAATCGAGTAGCTTACTGTGCACATATCGTTCCCTGGTCCAGGCACTGTAGAAGTGCACTTTATTGAATTAAAGTAGTTTTGAAATTGCTAAATTTAAACAGCTGAACTATTTGAAAAATGTGACTTGTTTGTTAGATATTGGTTGAGGTAAAATATTAGATACAGAAGTACCACAGATGTGTGAAGTGTGCTTGATAGTTTAAAAAACAAAAGGAAACAGATGATAAATAATAGTTCCATTATTTATTAAGGATATGTGGCTTGTCAAAGTTGCCAGTCGATTTCACGGAATAGTTTTATATATAATTTATTTAAATTACCTAGAATTTTTTAAATACCTAGAATTTATTTAAATTACCTAGAATTTTTTGTTTTTTGAATTTTTTCATTGTTGTCAATTCCTTTTACTTATAGGTTCGTGTGCAAATCTAGAACAATACAAGGCATTGCTAAAGGAACATGATAAGCAGAAGAAGATAGTGGTAAGATTTTGCTGTTTTTACCATCCCTCAAAAAGTATTTTCTTAGAAAATGTAAATGCTATAGTTTTCAGATAACTGATAACACTTTTATAAATTTCCTTTTAATCTTTAAGTCATATTTCTGTCTTGAAAAAATCTAGATATGTATTTTTGACACTCAATATTGGAGCCCTGACACCATCACATCACTATAAGACACCTGAGATTCATTTTAATGTTTTTATGTATCCCTTCCTTTGGTTATTTATAAGTGAATTGTGTGAACCAAAGCTCTGTTAACTATTGTGAAATATAAATATTTTGTTGAGTTTGTTTGGGGGACTTTAATGTAAAAATCCTTTAATTTATAACTTTATATACTTTGTTTTCCAGCTTTCAGATGAAATGGAGACAGAAAAGAATATAGAGGTATTTCGATTTTCTATAATGCCAGATTATATACCAGGTATATTATATAGGGCCAAAAGAATGCTTGTAATACTATAGATGTAGCGATAACTATAAATTTTCCTTTCCCAATAAAGAGAGGTGGGAACAGGCTTAGAATCCTTTCTATTCTATCCTGTTCTTGTTTCTTTATGCATGGCCTATCTAAAATACTTGATCTTTTGAGTATATGCCAAAATAGGATCGGAAATATGTTTTTGTTTTGTTTTTAAAATTGGCTCACAGATATGCAAAGGCTTTTAATTTCTTGAAACAACATATATGAAAGTTTTTCGTAGGAGTAATACATAGTTTTTAATGTGGTAACATAAAATAACTATTTCGGTTTAATGACAGTTAAATATTTATCTGTCTTCTAAGGTCATATAAAACCACTATACTAAAAAGAGAAATATTTTTTACTAAACAACATTTGCATTTTTTTCTAGGGTTGCAACTTCTCAGGATTCAGACAAAATGAATTAACGCAATTACCCAGGCATTTGGATGCTAAACAGATTTATCTTTTTGTTTTAAGAACCCGTAACTTTGAGGTATCTAAACATTGTTTTATTTTTATCCTATAGTAAAACTTGAGAATCTGATTTAAGGAATCAGACCCTTATTTGAAACTATAAGAAGTTAGATGTTAAGCAAAACCTGATTGTTTGAACATTAAATTCAGAAGGAAATACTAGTGGCATCTAACCTTGTTTAGCAGAAGAAAATGGGTTGGTATCTTAGTTACTGTGCTATTACTGTGAGCAAACACCATAACCACGTCAACTTACAAAAGAAAGCTTTAATTGGGTTTATGGTTTTGAATGACGTGATGACAGAGCAAAGGCATAGCAGCAGGAAAAGCTGAGAACTCATATTTTGATCCCCAAATAGAAGGCAGAGAGAGCTATCTGGGAATGGCACCAAACTTTTTTGAACCTCAAAACTCACTCTTAATGACACACTCCTCCAATAAGGCAACACCTCATACCTTCACAAACAGTTCACCAACTGGAAACCATGTTGCAAACATATGAGCCTGTGGGAGTCACTCTATTTAATTCACTACAGTTGGTGTGCTAACATCACCAGAGTCTTGATGCTAGTGTCCATTGGCTGGGAATGTGTCTATGAAAGATGTTTTTCCTTCCATGTTTCCACTTTTATCAACTCAGGAATCTTAGCATACTCTTTTTACTCTGAAATAGTTTGTGAGAATTCTTCCACATATGACTTGTGTGTTCTTAAAAGCCTGAAAGTGTCCTGGCACACTGTTGAGTTATATCCTGTAGTATAACCAAATATAAAAACTCAACATACAAGAATGTGACTAGTTCAGTGGCCAGTGATCATCAGGGATGGGATGGACTGAGAGAGTAATTATTGCTGATCATTAGGGATGGGATGAACTGAGGAAGTAATTACTGGTAAAGCTGATAATTATCTACTTTTTGTCTCAATTTATATTTTTTATATTTATGTCTACTATACCTGTTCTTTGTAATGAAAATATGCAAAATATAAATTGAAGCTGTTACCAGTGAAATATGGCTAGTTCCCTGTGGAAAAGAAGTACTCTTATAGAAATCATAATAAATAACATATTGTTAAAAAGTTTGCATGATTTCCTTGTTGTTGACTTGCATTTGAGGAAAAAAAACATAGCATTTCTGGATTTCATCAATAGAAATATTTAATTATATCGAATCTAGTGTTTAAAATTTTTTTGTGAGAATTTGTAAATGGGTTTGGGTGACATTGAAAAGCTTCTGCAGAGCAAAGGAAGCAATCAGTCAAAAGATATTTTACAAGGATTGTCAAAAGTTCTTGCCAATTAAACATCTAAAAGAGGTTAATATTTAAAACGTATAATTAGCTCCAAAAATTAAACATAAAATCTTCAAGCCATCTAATCAATAAGCATACAAATAAAAAATACATATCTCATAAGAAGAAATATACATGGTCAATACATATTTGAAAAATGTGCAGTTTCCTTAGTCACTAGGGAAATATAAATTAAAATTGCCTTGAGAGACCATTGCCTCTCAGTCAGAATGGTTATCAAATAAAGCAAATGGCACCAGCATATTCAGTCAAGGATTTTGGAAGTAGTCCTCATATAGTTTTCCTAAAAAGGAGAAGGGGGGCTGACTCTGACATGACCTCTATTGCCTGCTTTTTGATAACTTCTTCCTGTTGGGCCTACAGGGGAAGAGGATGAATTCAATCTTGATATAACTTGATATGCTGGGGTGGGTGGGAGGGGGGTGCTTTTCTTCTCTGAAGAGTAGGTGATGGAGGGTAGGAGAAACAGGGAGGGAGGGTGAGACCAGGAAGATAGGAGAGAGGGGACTATGACTGGAATGTAAAATACATAAATTAAAATTAAAATTAAAAACTGTTACATACTCTTGATGAGCATGTAAGCTAGGGTAGACACTGTGAAAATCAGTATGAATGGTCTTCGAAAATATAAAAATAAACCTCCATATAATCTGACTATACCACTGCTGTGTATATTCCCAAAGGAATGTAATCACATTACCACAGAGATATTTGCCAAGCATGTTTATTACTGTACTATCCAAATGTCCAAGATACAGGATCAGTCTAAATGCCTATCAACAGAGGAATGAATAAATAAAATGTTGTAGGTGCACAAACACACACACAAACACACACTCATGCACACAACATGGGATTTTATTCGGTAATAAAGAAAAAATAAATTTATGTTATTTGTATGAAAATAGTTTTAATTGGAGTTCATCATGTTAAGCAAACAAAGCCAAATTCAGTAATGTCAAGTCAAGTTTTTTGTTTATGATATGTGGTGTGTGCCTGCAGGGAGGTGTTCTAAATGGGAGGGAAGGGAGCAACAAGGGAGGGTATTGAGGGAGACAGAGATAAAATATTACTTGTTTTCTCTTACATACATAATATAGATATACTTGAGAAAAGGAAAGGAAACAATGAGATGGGAGAAAATGGATGGAGGGGGTACTGTTGTATGGGTGGATATTTGAAAGTCATATGTATAAGGAAATGTCATAATGAAACCTATTATTTTGTGTATCAGCTAAGAAATTAATTTTAAAACTGTTATGAATAAGAACATAAAATGATCTATTGAAGCTACCTAACTAAGCAAAAATGTAGTTTCTAGTAATTATGGTAAATACATTTAACTTTAGATACCAACTTTAGTAAATTGTATGTTTTAAGGGAAATGCTGTAGGGCTTTTCTTCCTGCCTCAAGCTTCCAGAATAAAGACTCAGACTCAAAGTATATTTACAAATACCTAGCCCATATAGCTAGACTCTCCTCTGACTAGCTCATACCTTAAAACAGAGCATTTTAACTACATTCTGCCATTTGACTGGTTACCTCTGCTCAGGTACCATTCATCTGTCTTCCTCACATATTCAAGGGCAAAGCAGTCACACCTGGCTCCACCTCAGAATCCTTTCTTCCTGAAATCCCACTTTTTATTTTATCCTCTTCTATAGTCCATAGGTTAAAAAAAAACTGCTTCCATATAGATACAAGAGATTCCTTCTACATTTCCCCTTTTTAGTCCAATAAAAATCTCTTTCTCTTACAATTTTAAACTATATACAATAATAGCAATTATGAAACAATCAGGTAAGATATATATTCACAATGTCCAGTCCTAATGTATTTGGCAACTTTGGAGAAAGTATTCTATTATCTATTCTATCCTGATGAGTTTAGAGTATTGTACCTAAATCATTGAATATCATAACTTACATTTATCAACCTAAAAATACTTTTAGATATAAAAACATCTTAGGGAAGGGGAGGAGGACTTCCCCTATGAGTGGACTTGGGGAGGGACATGGGAGGAAATGATTGAAGGAGGGTGGGATTGGGAGGGGATGAGGGATGGGACTACAGCTAGGATACAAAGTGAATAAACTGTAATTAATAAAAAATAAATTTATTTATATATAATTATGTAACAAAAGACATTTATCTTTTTTATACAAAAAAGAAAAATTAAATGGCACATTTTCTAGCAGAAAAAAATAAATAAAAACATCTTAAATACTAAATAACTTATGCTTTATTGCAACTATTTATTATTTATTTATTATTTATTATTCAACCACCTCAGAGACTTGAGAAGGAAATCACACTACCTTAGAATATAGAGAGTATAGTCAAGCATTTTCCAAAACATAGAAATGGTAGAGGTATTTGGCTGCTTGGAAAGTCACCTAAAATTTCTCTATAATGTTAGAACATCAATCTTCAGCCTTCTGGCCAGAATATCTGACAAACATATTTGTGAAGCAGGAATTAATTATGAAGGTCTTGCTTACCCTGTCTTGGCAGAGCTTGGCAGTTGATTTTGCCTTTATCCAAGTTTTTTACAGCATACTTTCTGCAGAGGGAGCAGAAACATTTCTTTTCCCAGGGGCAGCTTGCCACATATGAAGCAATCTCCTAATAGAGATTCTTTGATACTCATTATCTTTTTTTCAAGTTGAATGGGTGCTGCTAAAAGCTGACATATCTCAGTGGTTTTAAATTAATGAAGACATTTTTAAATGCCTTATTCTGTAGGTCTCTGAGGTTTTTGAAGAACATCTATTTATCTATATGCATTTAAATAATGTATAACCATTATCTATATAGCTCTCATAAATCCGAATAGGCAAACATTGCTTATTTCTAGCAATTTACCATCTGTTCAACCTAGGATGTATATTTCTGTAACAAACTAGATTAGTATCTGACATGATCATAAGTTTGATTAACTATTAACTTGCATTTTTTAACTATTCTAAACCATTTGCAATAGAAATTTATAAAAGAGCTGGAAATAAACCTTGTATTTATAAATGTGTTGCAAAGGTTCAATACCTTATAAAAGAGTTGAAACATACATACTCTATGTATATCAAGATAACTTTTAATTTGTATCAATATACAATAAAGCAATACAAACCTTATATTTGTATCAATATACAAAAATCTATAGTTATGTAAGCGTTCATCATGCAATGAAATGACCAAAACTTACTCACCCCACCTTAACGGAATGACATGTCATTCTCTTAGAATTGCTTTCTGCTGATATGGGGCATATTATTCCTTTTGGGGGGACCCAGAAATAGGGGGAAAATAGTTAAGAAAGCTAGCTGTAACATTTGTTGTCCAGTCTCTAAATACTGTGAAAATGCAGGCTTAAAATGAAATCCTGTTTGGAACAGTCTTAAAGACTAGAGCAATTGGAATCAGTAGCTTTCTTTGAAGCTGTCCTGGAAGCAAGCTCTGATGAAACAACAGCTAAAGCAATCCGAGGCTGGATCAAGCTGGATGCTGAAATATATGTGTCAGCAACTCAGCATTCTTCAGGATAAATCTTTATGATCTACTCCAAATTCCTGGTGTTTGGTCCTTTTGTTCTGTAAACATATAAGCTCTCACAAGTAATATACAGTTATGCAATTACATATGCATTGGATGTGCACATATCAGTTAAAGATGATTCTGTGCTCTTTATTTGAGGAGGTGAAAGACATCTGTCTTTCTTTATAAGCTTGTTTAGACTGTATAACCAAACTGCAATATAAATCTCCATTCATGCCATATAAAAAATGGCACGTAATAATGATTCTTGAGCATTCTGTAGCCAATAAAATATTGGCTATGCAAAGACATTTATGTCTAGACAGTCTTAAAACTATTCCCAAGTAGAGGTGACAGCATATACATTACCTGTCTTGGTCTTTTTTATTTCCTTCTTTCTGTCAAAAGAAAGATCTTCAGAGGATCTCCCTCTGTCAAATCTAATTTTCAACACTTTGGATGGAATACATAGCTTTTCTTCTCTTGTGGAAAAAAATGCAAAATTCTCCTCCACAACACAACATATTTTCCTTTTTCTATTCTGAGGGTATCACATACCTATGTTGATCTAATTCATCAGTCCTTTTTAAGTTCTAGTGCTTTTTGACAGCTATGTTACCTGTTTCATTAACTTTGAAAAAATTCAAAGTCAACAAAGTACCACTTAATTTATCCTTGGGATGTTCCTTATCCCCATTCTGTTCTATGAGCACCTCTTTTAAATTATTGGCAGATCTCTCCATAATTGCTTGACCTGTAGGATTGTGAGTTATATCTGTAACATTTTTATGCCATAATGTCCAAAAAACCTGTTGTATTTAATGGATACATATGCCGAAGCACCATCAGCCCCAATCTGCAAAGGCATTTCCAAGACAGTCACCATCTCTAACAAGTGTGTAATCTCAGAATTATTCTTTTCAGGATTTAAAGCAGAAGCCCATTGGAATTCTGAATATGCATCAATAGAATGATTCATTAACATGTGTACATAATTAAATTCTTCAAACTCTATAAAGTAATACATATAGTTTATTATATAATATTGCTATAGGCTAGCATCAATAAGTATAATCTGGATTCTTAAGTCAATATGTTCCATCCCTATGGGCTGCTATTCTAATTCCTCAAGCCTTTGTGTGTTTTTTCTTATCTGGAACTACCTCTTTTGATGTTACTTTAAGTTCTAGTTTGGATTTCTCTGAGGGTTCCCTATCTTGATTCAAAGATTCTTCTAACATTTGTTCTGTGGCCTCTAATCCAGCATCTAATTTTTCAATCTCTTCTTCTTCTCCCAAGCCTGCCTTATTCCAATCACTCCTAAAGAGGATTTTTTTTAATTTAATTTAATTTTTTATCGTAAGTTACATTTTATTAACTCTGTATACCAGCTGTATCCCACTCCCTCATTCTCTCCCAATCCCACTCTCCCTCCCTCATCTCCACCATGACCCTTTCCAAGTCCACTGATTGGGGAGGACCTCCTCCCCTTTCATCTGACCCCGTTTTATCAGGTATTTTCAGAACTGGCTGCAAAGTCTTCCTCTGTGGCCTAGCAGGACTGCTCCTCCCTTGGGGGGTGGGGAGGTCAAAGAGCCTGCCATTGAGTTCCTGTCAGAAAGAGTCCCTGTTCCCCTTACTATGGGAAACCAATTGGTTACTGAGCTACCACGGGCTACATCCGAGCAGAAGTTCTAGGTTATACCCATACATGGTCCTTGGTGGAATGTCAGTCTCAGAAAAGACCCCTGTGCCCAGATATATTTGGTCCTTGTGGAGCTCCTATCCTTTCCTCATCAGACTAACTCCCCTTCTTTCATATGATTCCCTGCACTCTGCCGAAGGTTTGGTTATGAGTCTTAGTATCTGCTTTGATACACTGCTAGGTAGAATCTTTCAGAGGCCCTCTGTGGTAGGCTCCTGTCCTATGTCCAATGCACATCCCCTTTGTCTTTCTAAGTGAGGATTGATCATCTTACCCTGTGTCCTCTTTCTTGTTTATCTTCTTTAGGTGTACAGATTTCATTATATTTATCATAACTTATAGGTCTATATAAGCGAGTATATACCATGTTTGTCTTTCTCCTTCTGGGATCCTTCACTCAGAATGATCTTTTCTAGATCCCACCATTTGCCTGCAAATTTCATGATTTCCTCATTTTTGATTGCTGAGTAGTATTCCATTGTGTAAAAATATCACAATTTCTGTATCCATTCCTACGTTGCTGAACTGGGTTGTTTTCAGGTTCTGGCTGTTACAAATAAAGCTGCTACAAACATGGTTGAGCAAACGTCTTTGTTGTGTACTTGAGCAAATTTTGGATATGTGCCTATCAGCGGTATAGCTGGGTCTTGAGGAAGCACTATTCCTAATTGTCTGAGAAAGCACCAGATTGACTTCCAAAGTGGTTGTACCTCGAGATATTCAAAACTGTAATCATCACTAGGAAAAATGACCATTCTGACTCTACCCCAGAATGCTTTCTTCCTGAAAGATGTTCCACATTCTATTCTATCTTTCCTATAGTCCATAGTTGTTTTTTTTTTAATTGACAGTAATGCTTCTATAGAGACAGAGAGATTCCTTTTACAGGAAAATGTTTAGGTAAATTCATGAATTTACTGAGTTAAAATTCTATGACTAAATGGATACTTATCTTAAGATTTTTTTAAAAAGTGAGAAATGCAGTCTGATTCGTACATTTTTTTGTGTGTGTGGTTGGTCTAGTTTACATAATCCTTGCATTAGGTAATAGCCATGTTTAGTTTTTAAGCAAATAAAATATGGCTGGTATGACTGATAACTTAAATTTTTAAATCAATTTCTTTTAATAGATCCATATACAAATATAAAAAATGATAATCAAATATTAAAAATAGTTATATTTGGAATAAAATTACAAATATATGCTTTATGAATCTATTTTATAAACATATATTTATGAATCTAAAATACTATTATAGTATTTCCGATGACAATTTAATATTTAAATCAAGAGATACTATAAGTACAAAATGCATTCTATCATTTTCAAGTCTTTAACACTATAAATGCAAAATACTTAATAATTTATCAATTACATGCTGATTGGACAATATTTTAAGAATATTAATTTTACCCTTAGTTTTTAATGTAACTACTGGAACAGTTAATTTTATTCATGTGTATTAGCTAAATATCTGTCAGGTAGTTTGTTACAGTTGATTATACTCTTTCTCTGAAGCATAACTATGTCTAGTAAAAATGTTTTAATTTGTTATCCATAGGAAAACCTTTTTAAAATCTGGAGAAGCTATATTCTCTCAGACTGCTCCATTGCTCTTTTGCATGACTCCTTTTGGTGGTGGTTTCTGCATAAATTCAAGGTAAATGACATTTAAAAACCGATATAAACCGTTGATTTGTAGCATAATTACTTTTTCAGTAGAAGTAATGTTAATACCAAATTTTTACAGAGATGAATGTTTGAGCATTCCACACAAACTAAAAATCCTAATTTAAACTTTCTTCTTTCAGAGGAGTTAAAATTACAATAAGGATTTCAAAGAACTCAGTTATTCATCAATTAGAAAAGATAAGGGAAATCCAATACTGTAGTGAATAATAAAGTTGTAGCTTTACATGGTATCATATGTTTGTAACCTGAACAGAAAGTCTTCTACATTGAGGATTTGGAAGAGAACCTGATGATCAGATAGACAGAGACCCTTTACTTGATTCAGAATGGTAAGAATGTGAATCTAGGGGGAAAAAATAAGTGAAATTGGTGGCACAGGAAGCACTGTTTGACTAGAAGAATTTTAGTAAAATAAATACCCTAATGTTGCCTTAAAGCTTGCCTCCCCAGGATGAGGCAAAAAGCTATAAGGTGGCCTACACTGTGACCCCCATGCCACTACCCTATGAGGACAGTGCACAGACAGTGCAAGCCCTTCACTGGTGGCACCACCCTACTTCCAGGACCACAGTTCACATCAAAGCACTGTGCACAGTACCCTCCTCACCCTCCACAGGTTTCACTGCCCATCCCCATCTAACCTCACCTTTAACCCCAAGCCAAGCTATCTAAGTGTTCTACAAAAATAACTTCTTACCAAGATGCAACTTTTTAAAGTTGAGCTTGGATCATTTCTGATACCCCAATTACATATCAGCATTGTGTCTCCAAGACTGAACGTCAAGCGTCATTGAGCAATCCCAAAGACCAACCAAGCTGAGGTAACAACAAACATAAACACAGATGGGCCAGATATTCAGACCATACAGCCAGTAACACTACTCCATAGGTGCAGTATCAGCACAAACAACGCGAAAAGCAGACACAGCGCGTCCCTTCAAAAAATGAGTGCCTGCATAGTGATGTCCCTAAGGAAAACAACTTAGATAACACACAAGACAGTGAACTCAAAAAGCATTTTTACATATGCTCAAGGAAATCAAAGGGGATATGAATAAATGCCAAAATGATATCCTAGACAACATAAGCAAAGAGTTGAATGAAATAATTAAAACAGAGCAGGATATGAAAATAGAACACAATAGACATAGACATCTTGAAGGAAACCAAAACCAAAATGAAACTTGAAATTTTCATTAAGTCTAATAAGCTCAGAGGAACACTTCACCAAAACTATAAATTGAGTGGAAGAGAGACTATCAGGACTTAAAGACAGGCTAAAGGAATTAGATCACTCAACCAAAAAAAAAAAGTAATAAATCGTTCAAAGACCCCATCAATGGCCATTTAGGTACCCTGGAACATAGAAGAACAAAGATTATAGACCATAGAAAACCATATAGAATGAGGAAAAGAAATCCATGTCAAAGGTACAGCAAATATTTCCAAAAAATCATACAAGAAAATTGTCCCATCCCACAAGATGAAAATCATGCCTGGTATCATTAGCTGGGCCAAGTATCCATGCCTAGGTATGCCATAGACCCTAGAAGAGAACCTAATACCATTATTCAGCTAAATAGACATAGTATTAAACTGTTTGACAGTACATAATTTTATATCCATAAATTAGTGAAACTTTCAACTTTCATCAGAGAAGCTTCTTTTCTATTTTGAATGGAATGACCCCATAGGCTCATATGCTTGATACTTGGTTGCCAATTAATTGAACTGTTTGAGAAAGAGTAGGAGTTGTGACCTTGTTGGAGAAGCTGTTTTGTTTTGAGATTTCAAAAAGCTGGTGGCATTTCTAGTGTTTCTCTCTTCTTCATAGTTGTTTTTCGATAGGTGAGCTCTCAGCTACTACCTGCTGCCATGCTCCCTACCATGAAAATCATGGACTCTAACACTCTAAAACTGTAATCACCAAATTAAACAGTTTCTTTTATAAGTTGCCTTGGTCATGGTGTCTTATCACAGTTAAGGGAAAGGTAACTAAAACAGTGGTGATTAATACAGACACTGATAGTTGGTCATGTGTAGAATAAGATACTCTGGAATGCTCAGCCCTAAAGGGGCAATTTGTAATATACACCACCCCCTCAAGGCTCAGTGATATCACAGAAGACGTTGTAAAAAGATTGCTAGGACCAAAGGTAATTGATGACTGCCACGAAACAGTGTTTTCCAAAAATGCATATATAAAACTCATAAAGGTGTGATTGCATGTACAGAATTAAGCTGGGGAAATCCAGCATGGGCTGGGCAAAAGCTTACAAAGTCCCACCCCTGGCTAAAGAGCTACTGGCAATAGTGGAGGAGGAAGAGTATGGGTTTTCTTTAAGGATGTGGACATTTGAGATGCCATGCACAGTCCAGTGGATGGCCAAATGCACATACTGGCAGCACTAACTTGACTTAGTGGGTTTACAAAAGAGTACATGAAGTTATGAGGGTAGAGTAGTGGTGTGGGCAGTATGGAAGAGTATGAGGGATGGTTTTGGTCAAAATACGTATGCATATAAGAAATCCTCAAACAGTAACTTTTTAAAAACATTTTGAAGCCAGAAAGTACATCAATCCTACTCAGCAATAACAAAAATGTATAACCTTTAAAGTATCAATATGTTTTAACAGATCATAAACTAAATTTTAAAAAAATTAATGTTACTAAGAACAAAGAGTAGCAGTCTAATGTAAAATAAGAGTATTGAATTTTTATTCAATAATGAAATTCTTCAAAACACATTTAATAAAAACTCATTAACACTTCAAGAAGATATAATCATTTATATCGGTATGGCTCAAGATTTTAATGCCTCAGTGCCAATAATTTATAGTGTACATGGAAATTTGGAAATGATTGGAAATTATATGGAAGACTTGAACAACACTGGCAAAAAAACTGATCTAGAATTTATAAAGCATATCTTCTGCCTTTATACATTTCATATTACTAGACCTTAATGCCACAATTAGACAATTTATAGTGAGCAGAAATTTATTGACTCACTTAGGAAAGATGATAAATATAAGCCTAGGGTCCGGGGTGACTGCATATACAAGACCCTCTCCAGTTGAGGGCTTACAGTGTCCCACCCCTGACTGAAGAAGTATTAGCAATGGATGGATTGTTGGGATGGGAGTGTATCAATTCTCATCGGGGATACAGGCCTTAAGGAAGCTCCCCATGGTCTAGGGGGCTTCTTCCTGGGTCACCCTATGGGAGAAGGTGGAATGACAAAAAAAAAGAGACAGAAGAATGGAGAGAAGAAAGTACAAGGGAGGAGGCATACCTACTCTTATGGCAAGAGTGTCTCATTCATGAGGGTTGTGCTCTGATCCCAATGCCTCCTGTTGTTCTACCCCAATTGACAGCTAATTACTTTTTCTCAATAACACATTTACCAAGATAAACTGTGTTGAACTAGGAATACATCCTAATAAAGTTATAAAATTAAAGGCAAGGGAAAAAATGTTTTCACATAGAATGACAAGATATGTAGAAAGTCTCCAAAAAATCAGAAAGTAAATAATATACTTTTCAGTAACTGCAGGTGAAACCAGAATTTAACAGAAAAATTGAAAACCATGAACCAAGTGAAAATGAAAATATGAATTAAAATTTGTGAGATGTAAATGAGGCAGTATTTAAAGAAGTCTTATAGCATCAGAAGGAAACAGCAATGATCAGAATGAAAGCCAATAGACGTAAAAGAAAACAAAAGTAGAGAAAAATCAATGAAGCCATGTGTTTCTCTGACAAAGTCTTCAAACATGTCAACAGAAGGAATTAGATGCCTGTGTCATTCTGAGAGTAAATAAGGCGGAGGGAAAGCCTAAATGTGGTTCATCATTTTCATCTGCCCATCCCCTAGTTTCTAGCGCAGAGGAGTATCCTCTGAGCACAGTTCTGCACACTGTAGTTTTTGTTGTCAAAGAGACTCAGCCCATGCTGAGATTATTTCAATACATGTAATGGAACAAAAGGCTGTTTTGTTGAGCAGAAAAAAAATGACCTTAACAAAATTATGTTAAATTATTTTTCAAGTGGGTATATAATTTGTCATGCACATTGCTAATATGTGATTTTACATTATTCCTGAACTACTACTAGTGGGTCAACAAAATAAAACAAAAATTAGAAAACTCCTTGAGAAAAAAATTAAACAAAAATATATTGGAACTTATGTAAACCAGAAACAAAAGTAGGGGCATTACCCCCATTTCATACAGAAATAAAGAGATAATTGCATTATTAGTGCTTTATCACTGTAACCAAACTACCTGACATGTTTACCTTGAAACTCAGACTCTATTTTCTCATTGTTTCAGAAGACTGAGTCCATATAGCAAGGAAGGCAAGACAGATCAGTTCTCATCCTGATGGAGAAACATTGAGAAGCTACTGAGGTTTATTGGCTTTCTCCTTTCTCCTCTTTGTTCCCTGGACCCCAGCCCATATGACGGTGCTTCCCATGTTTGAAATGGGCTTTTCCTCTCAGTTAGTTTACTCAGACATAGTTAGAGATATGCCCAGCTAATCTTGTACGTGATTCTGAATCATATCAAGCTGACAATGAAGATTAACCACCATGGTGCTATAAAAATATATTCTAACAGGTTGGATGACCTGAACAGAACATTTTTAAAAATTCCTAAAATCATGCAGTCTCCAAGACTGTATCACAAAGAAACAGACGATTTCAATAGATTATACTTAGTAAGAAGGTTGAATTAATAAATGAAACTTCCCAACAACAAAAGCCCTGACCCAGATAGCTTCACTGGTAATTTCCACAAGTATTTTAAAAAGAGTGAGCATCAATATTACAACTCTTTTAAAATATTAGAGAGAAAAGATCAATTTCTAGCTTGAGAATGTGTTACCATGACACCAAATCTAGCTTCAAAAAAATTACAGAAACAAAATACTACAGACTAGTATCTCTTACAATAAATATGAGT